ACATCGAGACCACTCCCTCTTGTTTGCACAGGGTGTGAATTTTACCTGATGTTTCTAATGATAGGTCTCGTGCGAGGAAAAATGACAAATGTCTGTCCTTTGTCATTGCTTTTTTATACAAATTGCACCTTTATTTTATTGTTAAATTATGCAAAGAAGATTGGTCCCCTTGAACGAGATATAAATAATTGGACCCGACGTCAAAGTGATTATATAAAAAAATAACTCTTTTTTCTATTATATTTGACTTTGAAAAAAAAAAAAAAAATTTTATTCTTTTTATTACTAAATAAAAAAAAATTGCTAAATAAATAAACAAGCAAATTTGCTTTTTTTAACTGCAATCTTTTATTTATAGAAAATTTGGGTTGAAAAAGTGGTTTAAAAGCGAGCTTAAAAGTAATTTAGTTCTAAATTTGAATAAAAGAAACAAAATTAGTGACATTTTTGATTTCGAAAAACTCCAAATAGTAGTTTTTGACGCTAAGAGTAAACGCTAACTTCAGGGACATTTATTTTGGTGCATTACCTGGAAGAGGGAGAAAAGGGGAGTTAAAATACAGAATTGTAATCAAGCCTGATGTATTTTTTAAATTGGCAAAAAAAAAAAAATTTTGCTTTAAAAAAGCAAAAAAAATTTTTTTTTTTAATTTTGTTTCTAAACAAGAAACAAGCGATTTGAACTCGGAAGGATGATTTTCTTATAAGCTCGCACGGGGAGAATAAAGCCGCGCCCACTTGTTTGCTCGGGAGTGACACTCGTACAATTCAGGGCGGTACCCATACATTTTCGTTCCCTTATACTGGATTTAATCAGCAATATCGACAGACAGTGATGACTCGTTTCTTTTTTCCTAATACTCTATTCACACGACCATACAATATAGAAGTGTATAAATACAGGTATTTTTTGAATTTATCATCTAGTTTTGTTAATTTGAATCAAATTAGAAGAGATTTTTTTTTAAACAGAAAGTGATCCTCTGTCAATTTTAAGTTATTTTTTTTTTGTTTCTTTTTTGTCTCTGTTTATATTTCTTCTTTTTTTTTTCTTATTCTTGAATTCAATCTAGACACCTACATATTCGTCTGACACCCTCGAGAACAATAGTTAGTCCGGATGTTGTTTGCCACCCGATATTTAGCCGTATAATTATATTGAAATGAAGAAAAATTCACTCTCAAGTGTCTGTGTGACGAAAACTTTTTTTACATTACCGAATTTTGGACAATGGAAAAAATTTCTTCTTCTTCTTTTTCTTCTTCTTCTTGTTAAATGACATTAGAAATTTTAATAAACGCAGGGTTTGTACTCGATTATTAATTTTTAAAAAGTAGCTTAAAAAAGTTAGTTTTTTAGTACTTATCGAAAACTTGAACTTGACGACTCAATTTTTATAATTTTTTAATTACATTCAAAAATAGAATAATTTTTTCAAAAAAATATTTAAATACCTATTTATTTTGTCTACTAGAATTAAAATATTTTAAATGACTTCAATGTAACGCATTTTTGAAATTGAACTATTTCTAAAAATTAGAAAAGTAATTTTTTTGTAATTTTTTCAAAATTTAATCATTTTTTTTTTTTTGTTGAAATTTATAAATAATAAATAATAATAATTAATAATTATTCAAAACTTTAATCATTTTATTTTATTCAATTCTAAATCAATTCTTATTAGAAAATTCTAAGAGAATAAAATTATTTAAATACAAAAATAAATAATTTATTGAATAATTGAATATTTCTTAAATTTGAATTCCTATAAAGAAATTTATCGACATTTTTTAAAGTAATTAAATTTTTACGTGATTAAAAATGAATTGAAAATAATTATTACACTCTAAGAAGCAAATTAAATCAAATTGTTACAAATAATTGAATTTTTATGAAGAATTTTATGCAAATTTTTAAAAATAATTGCGTATTTAGCGGAATTAATTTAAAATTATATAAAAATAATTTTTTATAAATAAATCATTATTTATGAAAGTAATTGAATTTTTGTCACCGAACTTTAATAAAGTTATTAAAATAATTGAATTCTAGCGAAGAATTTTATAAAAATCTATTTAAAGAAATGATTTTTTTCAAAAAATTTTATGAAAATAATTTAATTCTATAAAAAATATGATTAAAAATGAATTGAAAATAATTATTACACTCTAAGATACAAATTATATCAAATTGTTAAAAATAATTGAATTTTTTCGAAGAATTTTATTCAAATTTTTAAGAATAATTGCTTTTTTTGCGGAATTAATTTTAAATTATATTAAAAATAATTATTCAGAAATAAATCATTATTTATGAAAATAATTGAATTTTTGTCACCGAAATTTAATAAAGTTTTTAAAATAATTGAATTCTTGCGAAGAATTTTATAAAAATGTATTTAGAGAAATAACTTTTTTTCAAAAAATTTTATAAAAATTGTATATTATTTATGAAAATAATTGAATTCTATCGAAAAATGTTAATAAAATTATATTGAAAACAATTCAATTATTATAAAGAATTTCATTAAAATTTTTTAAAATAATTGAATTCTTTCAAAGAATTTTATTAACATTTTTAAAATTAGTTGCATTTTTCGTGGAATTCATTTAAAATTTTATTAAAAATAAGTGAAATCCTGCGATGTGTTTTAATATCTATAAAAATAATTGAATTCCTGAGAAGAATTTTATTATTTATGAAAATAATTGAATTTTTGCAACGATTATTATTAAAATTTAAAAAAATAATTGAATTCCTGAAAAAAATTTTATTGTTTATAAAAATAATTAAATTCCTGAGAAAAATTTTATTATTTATAAAAATAATTGAATTCTTGCGAAGAATTTTATAAAAATCTATTTAAAAAATTGATTGTTTTCAAAAAAATTTATGAAAATTGTGTTTTAAGTAATTTAAGTTCTCTGAAAATTGTGTATTATTTATGAAAATAATTGAATTCTTTCAAAAAATTATTATTAAAATTATATTGAAAACAATTTAATTATTATAAAGAATTTCATTAAATTATTTTAAACAATAATTGAATTCTTTCAATGAATTTTATTAAAATTTTTAAGAATAGTTGCATTTTTGGCGGAATTTATTTAAAATAATTGTATTAAAAATAATTGAAATCCTGCGATGAGTTTTAATATTTATAAAAATAATTGAATTCCTGAAAAGAATTTTATTTTTTATAAAAATAATTGAATTCTTGAAAGTTTATTATTTTTTTTTTAAATAATTGAATTCTTGCGAAGAATTTTATAAATATTTCTGAAAATATTTGAATTCCTTCGAAGAATTTTATTATCCGTGAAGATAATTGAATTTTTTCGAAGAAATTCATTAAAATTTTTTAAATTAATTAAATTCTTTTGGGAAATTTTTTATTAAAATAGATCTTAAAAATCATTGAATTACGAAAAATTTGTAAAAATAATTGATTTGTTTGAAAAAATTTTATTAAAATTTTTTGAATATTTTCCAATAAATTTATTAAAATTTTTTTTAATAATTTTTTTATTTCAACTGTTAACAAATTTCAAGTATAGTGTAAATTCTCAAACATGGAAAAAAGTATAGCTTTTAGTGTAAGAAATAAAAAAAAAGTATCGAAATAGTAGCAAATCGTGAAAAAAGTAGTAAATAGTATAGTTTTTAGTAGAATGAGTGCGAGGCCTGTAAACGTAAATAAATAGATTTTTCTTGTGGAAAATTAAAGTAAAACTAATTAGTTAATCTAATAAAAATTTTCATGTACGGAATTAATAATCAAGAGAATAATAAATTATCAACAATTTGCTATGTGTATGCGTGCGAAAAAACGTTTTTTGACGGAAACGCTTGATTATGGGAATTAATGGATGATAAATATGCGGGCGATGTCATAAAAAAAATGGAGAATTTAAAATAAAAAGGAAAGGATGACAGGACACATTAACCGTTTTTATCAGTAAAAGGTGAGCGGACAGTCTCACGATGTAATTTCTGCAGGAACTGCCATATCGACCAACATTAGATATAGCTCAATTATAATACAAGAGCGTGAGAAATAGAAATTTTTACAACTTTATTTTTGTCACTCAAAAATTCATGCACAACTTTTCTTTATAAACTTATGTATCTACAAGAAATTTTTTTTTCCTTTTATTTCTTTTCCTTTTTTTTGAAATCTCAAATTTTTATGTTCAAATTTCTTTAAAGTTACATTTTTAACTTTTTTTATTTCTTTAAAAGAAAATAGTTATTAAATATGAATAAATTAGATATGAAAAAAGTAAACGCTAATTATTATTAATGAAAAAGTGAAATACTATGTTAAGGTTGAATATTAATGGCGAACATATATATATTTATATTTTATAAAAATAAAAATGTAAATTTTGTTATCGCAGAATAATTTTTATGTGCTAACTTAATTTGTGGCTGATCGCGATTTTTTGCGCAAGGTGAATACAATTTTTCTTTTGCGGTCTCTATGCGATGGAAAAATAATAATAAATAATTGCATTGTTATAATAATACCTATATTTGAATTTTTTTTTTCCTTTATTTCACGAGACGAAAATAATGCGTTTCCGTTTTTGAATTGCAAGGTTATGTCCTTTTTATTATTATAATGCGCGGCGCAATTTTTTTTTTTTTATTTTTTTATTATGCTATATTACGGATGTGTATTCGTATAATAATGCATTTTGATAACGCGTCCGACTATCTCGGAAGTTATAAACCAGCCGCCATTTTCCTAATTAATGTTTAATGTCTTGATATCTGTCCTCCTTCCACACAATTATACTCGAGAATTGATATCGCCTATCGAGCGACCTATAAATTTTGTAAAATGGCCGTCGTTCTCATATAGACTTTTAATCGTTTTTTGAAACGTACTTTGAAGCAGAAGAAATAATTGTATACTTTTTTTGAATATTTGCATCTTGTAAAATAAATTTGATAAAAGATGTATTAATTTTTGTTTTTTTTTTTCTATTTTCAGTCGCATCAGGAGGAAGATTTATCAGATCCAGATCTCCAGGATGAGGAAAGTGGCGAGGAACTACCACAACAGCCCCTTCAGGGTAATAATCATTCTTCACAGGAAGTTGGTTCGATTCCTGTCAGTACACCAACGCCAATAGCTCATTTAAATAATCTCATGAATTCTCATCATCCACATTTTTTGGCGAAATTAAAAATGGAGGTACGTTCTTCTTAATTGTCTTTGTAGTTAGTGATTGGTAAATAGTTTCTTCAGATAAAAAGTAGATTTCTTTTTTATTAACGAGAGCGTCATATTTATAAATAATATTATCACAAAGTTGCCACAAGTCAGGATATTCAGGGAAAGTAAAATTTTTCAGGAAAATCAGGCAAAAATGTCAGGGAATTTTATCATAAAATAGTGAAAAATTAAAATATATTAATTTTCCAGAAATCGTAACGAAATTTTGAATTTTCGTGTCCAGCAGTCTCGGAAAATATTAAAAATATTTGATTCTTCTCGAAATTTTTATTTTTTGTTTAACTTATAAGCTTTGAAATCTCTACGAATTTTAATACAAAAACTTAAAGTTCTTTCTATTTTTGACAATAATTAAACTTAATAAATAAATTACTTGAAATTACACTTAAATTTTATTTTTTTAAAACAATTTAATTCTTGAAGAACTCTCCTACAATTATTACTTAAAAATGATTTGGCGGATAATTTTACTTAATAATTATCAAAATAATTTAACTTTATTAAGAGTTATGTTTACAATTTTTTATAAGTATTTGAATTTTAAAGGGCATCTATTTCCACTTTTAGTAAAGTTGCATTTAAATTTTAATTTTAGCTAAAAATTACCAAGAAAAGAGATTCTTTAAATTTTTATTCAATTTTTTTTTAATTGAATTTATTAATATATATTTAATTGACAAATTTTCGAATGATTGAAATTACATAAAATTAAATATTGTAAACAAGTGGATTTCTGAAATTTTTTAGGTGAACTTTCATTTTTCAATTTACATTTTTCCAAGAATTTTAATATGTATTTTTAAAAAATAATTGAATTCTATCGACTTGTATAATTAAAAGAACAATAATTATTAATGAATTGTATTGGAATTTTTAAAAATAATTGAATTCCTGCGAAGAATTTTATTATTTTTGAAAATAATTGAATTTCTGCAAAGAATTTTATTAAATTTTTTTGTCAAAATAATTGAATTCTTTTCAGAAATTTCATTAAAGTTGAAAAAAATTGAATTCCTTCGAAAAATTTTATTTTACTTTAAAAAGATTTGAATTCTTTTAAAGAATTTTATAAAAAAAATTTTTAAGCAATTTTATTTTTTGAGAAATATTATTATGACTGCATTGAAAATAACTGAATTCTTTTTAAATTAAAATAACATTTTTCGAAAGAATTCCGTTTTTTTAAACTTTAATTATATTTCTCAAGAGATTTCAATTATTTTTCTAAAAAATCGAATAATATTCTTCGTAGACATTAAATTATTAAATTAATTATAAAATTTTTCAGAGGAATTCAATCAATTTCAAAAATTTTATTAAAATTCTTTAATTAATTAAATTAATTTCAAAAATTTTAATAAAATTCTTTATAAGAATTCAATTATTTTCATAAATTTTTAAAAAATTCTTTATAAGAATTCAATTATTTTCATAAATTTTGATAGAATTCTTTATAAGAGTTCAATTATTTTACAAAATTTTGATAAAATTCTTTATAAAAATTCAATTACTTTCAATACAATTTCAATTTAATTCGGCAAAAGAATTGTATTATTTATGAAAATAAATGAATTTCTCGGAAAAATTGTATTAAAGTTTTAAAAAAATTGAATTTTTAAAAAAATGTTATCAAAAGTTTTGAAAATAAAATAATTCAATTCTTTTGCCGAATTTAATTGAAATTGTTTAGAATGTAATTGAATTCTTGTAAAAGAATTTTATAAAATTGAATTATAAACAAGTGGATTTAAAAAAATCTTACTCGAATTTTCATTTTTTCTTTGAATAATTGAATTCTTAGAAGACTTCCTTAAAAATAATCAACAATATTTCATTTTGAAAAGAATGTCTGTTAAAAATTCTAGAAAATAATTAAATTGAAATTTGGAATTTTTAAAATAATTTTTGAGAAGTTACAGCGCCAATTTTTATAAATTATCAAAATATCAAAGTAAAAAAGTAAAAAATTTTGTCTAGAAATCAGCGGAAAAAGTCATGTTCCTTAAGTTTCGAAGGTTTAAATGAACGTCGACATCTTTTTACTTCTTTTACTTTGTATTTTTCTATAGAAAAAAAAAATTATTTTGTATATTAAAAAAATTAATTCTTAAGTAAGTAAATGTTTAATTTAAATTGTTTTTCTTCTTTGTAGAGTAATTTTTAAAAATATTTAAATAGAAAAAAATTTCGTTCACTTAAGTATTCAAAACTTTTGGAAAATGAAAAGTCAAGGAAAAACGAAAACAAATATTTTCTCTCGAAATTTGATTTAATGACTGACTTTTTGTTTTGGAATTAGTAAATTTTACTTGTAAATTTTTCTACTAATTTATTAGTAAAATTTACTAATTCAAAAAGAGTAAATTTTATTACTGAATAGTAATTTCTACAAATTTTTCTACTAATATATTAGTAAAATTTACTAATTCAAAAACAGTTAATTTTACTACTGAATAGTAATTTTTACAAATTTTTCTACTAATATATTATTAAAATTTTCTAATTCAAAAGCAATAAATTTTACTACTGAATAGTAATTTCTACAAATTTATTAGTAAAAATTTACTAATTCAGAAGCAAAAAGTCAGTTACCAATTTAAGTTAGTAAGCATTTTTACTAATTCAAATTTAAAAAGCGTGGCAACGCTGTTTATAATATTATTGTAATTTTATATCAAAATTATGTTACTGAACTATTATTGTGAAATAGTGAATTATAAAATAGTAGATAGAATGGTTAATTAGTTAATTAATTAATTAATTAATTAACCATCAGCAAAAATTATCGAATTCAATAAATTGATAGACTTTTTTTATGTTTTGCATTTAAAGAATGATCTGGAAACGTTGAGCAATCAAAAAGGCCTCGAGGCACTGCAAGCGGTTTGCGGAAATGGCAATTTCAGTTTACCATTTTCGTTTCCAATGCCACCGGCATTTTTACCACCGCATCATCATAGTCAAAATAGTCATTCGCTGCCTGGGGGTGGAGGCAGTGGCGACGGTGGTGGCGGCGGCGGTGGCGGTAATGCAATGACATCCTCGGCAAGTTCACATTCAAGTGAATCGTCACAAAGTAGCGCTCGTAATGGAATTGAAACAACACGTGAACGTGAGAGTAGTAATCATTCGCAAAATAATTCACAAGGAAATTCACATCAACAACAAACCAGCTGGAGCTTCGAGGAGCAGTTCAAACAGGTGCGTCAGGCAAGTAACTTTATACACACCTTTGCCCAATTGCCCACGGCTCGTATTACACTTTTTTTTTATTCTTTCAATTTACAAGAAAAACTTGATAACAAAAACAAATTTTAATTAAACAAAAACAAAATTTAATTAATTATTAATCATTTAATCAATCAAATTCGTACATATACGAAATTTTCTTGATAATTGGAAATTAATTCTTACACGTAAAATTTTAATTATTTATTCTCTTCATTTTGTCTCGAAGGTTGAAATATTTTTGAATATTAAAATCTTTCATTAGACATTAAAATTTTTTTTTGTATATTACAATTTTATCGTTTTTTAGATTAAAAATTCATTAGACATGCAAATTACATTTTTTTTCGCATTTATTCACAATTATATACGATAACTGATAAGTATAATTTTAATTTGAAAAAAAATTAAGAATGTGAATAAATAATTTTTGATATTTTGAAAAACGTGTCGTGGGCGTGTGATAATTATTGAAAAAAAAGAAACGAAAGATTTTTATAATTATTAGTGCGCCGAATGTTATGTTATGGTCTGTAATTAATGCAACGACTGTTGGAAAGCTAATTATTATTTTTTTGCACACCAACGTGAGATAATTACGGGACCATCTTAATGTCTGATGCGACGAACTCAAAAGGAAAGAGAGGGTGCCTCTGGTGCGAAAGAAAATAAGAAATGAGAGGGTTGCAGGCGCGCCTTGTTAACGCTTTTTGTCATCATTTAAACATCTCTTCTGCACATTGAAAGTTTCGTCGGATGAGAAACTGACCGTCGGTGTTGTATATATATATAAAAGTTTTTTATTTTATTTTCTTTTTTTGGTTTTTACAAAGAGGGTGTGGTATTGGATTACCATTTAGATTGTTTACCGCCATATTGTGAGACATTAAAACCCGCAAAAGCTTCGTGTGTCGCGTATAACCGTAAAGGTTATATAGTCTTCATTAAATGAACGACCTGAATATCTCGCTGCGCAACACTTTTAATGAAAAATTTACCGCCAGGGATTTAATTTATACAAAATGGCAATGATCGCGAATTTTTTGCTTTTCACTGAATCAAAATTTTTTCATTGAATCGCAATTTTTTCGTTATTTACTGAACTATAATTTTTTTGTTTTTTACTGAATCATAATTATTTCGTTTTATACTGAATCACAATTTTTTCATTATTTACTGAATCACAATTTTTTCATTATTTACTGAATCACAATTTTTTGTTATTTAGTGCTGAGTCACAATTTCTTCTTTTTCACTAAATTACAAGTTTCTATCTTTAATTATAACATAGATTTTTATTCATCTTTTTGAAAGTAACTTAAGTGTTTAAAAGAATTATATAATTTTTGAATTTTCAATTCTAAGATTTTTAATACAATTTTTCAGCCCGATTCAATTTTTAAAAAAAAATTTATATAAAAAGCTTTATAAGAATATAATTATTTTCATTACAATTGTACTTAAAATCCTTGAAAAGAATTAAATTATTTTTAATACTTTTAATACAAGGTCTTTGAAGCAGTTCAAATATTTTCAAAAATACTTATAAATTCTTGACAATAATTAAATTATTTTTCTAAATAATAAAAGTATTCGCAGAAATTCAATTATTTTCAATTCAATTTTAATAAAATTTCTCGGATGAATTCAATTATTTTTTAAACAATTTTTAATAAAATTCTACGAAAGAATTGAATTATTTTCAAAAATTTTGAAATTTAGAAGATTTCAATTATTTTTCGAAATTTGACATTTAGAAGATTTCAATTATTTTCCAAAATTTTGAAATTTAGAAGATTTCAATTATTTTCGAAAAATTTTGCAATTTAAAAGATTTCAATTATTTTCGATACACTTTTAAAAAAAATTGAAAATTCAAAAATTTCAAATGACTAAAAATTGAGTCATTTGACAAATTTAATTAAAATTAAACTGAAAATACTCAAATTTCTGCAAAGAATTTTATTATTTATGAAAATAATTAAATTCTTGCCAAGAATTACATCAAAATTTTAGAAAATTATATAATTCCTGCTAAGAAATTTATTAATATTTTCAAAAATAATTAAATTATTTCCAAGAATTCTATTAAAATTTAAAAAAAAACAGTTACATTCACTCGAAGAATTTAATTCAAATTGTAATGAAAATAATTGAATTTACATAAATAAATTTCTCCGAATTTTTAAAAACAACAAATTGACTTCTTTTGAGGAATTTAATTTAAATTTTATTAAAATAATTGAGTTTTTGCAAGAACTTTGTTAGAATTTTTGAAAATAATCGAATTTTTGCGAAGAATTTTAATAAAATTTTCAACAAAAAAAAATTTAATTCTTTCCAGTAATTTTATTAAAGATTATTTTTGCTTTAATCTAAAGAATGTTATCGAAATTTTTGAAAATAATTGTATTCCTTCGAAGAATTTTATTAAAAATTTAAAAAAAAATTGTATTCTTTTGAAAAATTGAAAGTAATTTAATTTTTTGAAGAATTTTATTATTTATGAGAATAATTTGAATTCCTGCGAAGTATTTTATTACAATTTTTGAACATTATTAAATTCTTTCGAGGAATTTAATTTATATTGTTTTGAAATAACTGAATTTTTGCCAAGAAGTTTATTAGAATTTTTTAGATTTTAATTGAATTCTTCCTAGAAATTTTTACAAGATTAGATTGAAAAATATTTAATTTTAATAAAGAATTGAATTATTTTTGAAAAGTAATTGAATTGTTTCGAGGAATTGAATTGAATTATTTAAAAAAAATTGAATTACCATTTTGAAGAATTTTATTAAATTTTTTAAAATGAATTGAATTTTTGTGAATAATATAATTGAAATTTTAATAAAAATAATTTAATTCTTATAAAGAATTTTATCGAGATTTTTGAAAAATTGAAAGTAATAAAATTTTTGTAAAGAATTTGATTATTTATGAGAATAATTATTGAATTTTTGCGAATAATTTTATTACAATTTTTGAAAATAATGAAATTCCTTCGAGGTGTTTAATTTATATTATTTTGAAATAATTAAATTTTCGCTAAGAAAGTTTATTCGAATTTTTAAAATTAATTAAGTTCTTTATAGAAATTTTTACAAAATTAAATTGATTATTTTGTAAAGGATTTGATTTTTTATGATAATAATAAAATTCCTGCGCAGAATTTTATTACAATTTTTGAAAATAATTAATTAAATTCTTTCGAGGATTTTAATTTATATTGTTTTGAAACAATTGGATTTTCGCCAAGAAGTTTATTAGAATTTTAAAATTCTTAATTTAATTTTTCCTAGAAATTTTTATAAAATTAGATTGAAAAATATTTAATTTTAATAAACAATTGAATTATTTTTGAAAAGTAATTAAATTGTTTCGAGGAATTGAATAAAATTCTTAAAAATTCTTGAATTCCTGTGAAGAATTTTATTATTTATGAAAAAAATTGAATTTCTGCGAAGTGTTTTTATTATAATTTTTTTGGAAAATAATTGAATTCTTTAAAAGAATTTTATTTTCGCTGAAATTTAGAGAATTTGAATATATTTTGAAAAATGAAAAGTAATTTTGAAGATTTTTTCTCTCTCTCTTTCTTTGCCTTGGGTGCAAATTGCAAGATGATGAATTATTGTATCGTGTTTCGAAAGAGATCGATCTGAGAAGAAGATGGTTTGACGCGAATTTGCTTCAAGTGTGTGCATATATATATGTATGCAGAAAAAAAAGATGCTAATATTTTGAGATGAGTGAAAGAAGGAGAGGAATATGAAAATGTAAAGCTCCACCTACTCGAGAGAGGGGTACTCGCGTCTCTCGGATCGCATCCATCATTCCGTGGGGGCGTACTTACACACAGGGTCTTTAATCTTTCTTCTTGGTGGTATAGTTTTCTTCTCTTCTTCGCGTTAAACTCCCCTCTTTATTATCATTATTATTATTATTATTATTATTTTCTCTTAAAACCTTCCGTTTTTCTCTGTGTGTTCCTTTTTTCGACACTTTCTTTTATAAACTTGTTCGCACGATCATTGAATATGTCATGTACATATGTACAAATAGGAGATTTTAATTTTTATCTTTTTTAATTTTAATCTTCTTGGTATAATAAGTATTTTAGTCGATAATGTTAAAGGGTAATTCTCGTGTATCGAGATGAGTTAAGTTAATGATTGATTTTTGTCTTCCCTTGGTTAGAATTAATGGTGTTCTGTGGAAATTGTTGACAAGCAAATTGGCTACTTAGGGAGTTTTCTTCTTTAGAAGTTTAACTATATGGCTGTTGATGGAATTAAGAGTTTAGAAAATTTACAACGGTACCATCATGGTAATTGGGATTTTTTTGGTGGTGCAAAATAATTTCATGTTTGGAATTATCCTAATTTGTTGTGGGGGTCCTTAATTTGATGCGAAATTTCTTTATTTCTGTGGAGAGGAATTTTTCACCACAAGAAAAAATTTCCGGATGGATTTTGTTTGGTTTTTATTATTTTTTCACATTTTTCTCATCTTTAAATTTTTCTCTTTTCTTCTCTTTTTTCAAAAAATTTACAAGTTTTGCTCTATAATATTTTTTCGAAATTTAGCACTGGAAGATTGAAATTCAAAAATTGTGTTTTTCCTGTTGATTATTAATTAGTTAATTAGTAGAAGGAAAATTAGTTGTAAGTGTTTTTATTGTTGGTTTCTAATTGGAATTTTCTTTTTTTTTTATAGAGATGAAGGAGTTTTTCGAAAAAATAATCATCTGTCCAAGCCGCTATTTAATGCAGTAATACATTTTTATTTAAAAAACGAAAAAAAAATGTTTAATCTTTTTTATGTAGAAATTTTTATGAAACATTCGAATAGAAAATAAATTTCGTTCATTAAAATCTTAAATTTTATAATTAGATTTGTTAAAAATTAATTTTTTTGATAGACAAGAAAAATTATTGTCATTAAAATTTATTTTGAAGAAGAAATAAAGAATTTTCGTT